AAAAAAAAAAAAAAAAAAAGAAGCAAGCAAGCAAGCAAGAAAGAAATCTGTAACTATATCTCTAACCTGCAAAACCAATCTCCTATAGCAGTTGTTTTCATGACACTTACATCCCATGCAGTGGGAGCACAGTGAAGCAGGGAGTGTTTGACCTGAAGACTAGTGGATGGCAGGTGGGAGAGGGCATTCTGAGAAGATAGTATGGTTAGGACAAAGGCACACAGGTGAGGAAGCCCGAGGTACACTTGGAAGTACAAGTAGTTAGCACCATTGGGAGTTTAGTGCAAGAGAAAGTGTAGTGAGAGATGAGGCTGGGCAGACAGCGTGAGGCCATTGTTACACCTGTGGGTCCATGGTATCTGGGGGAAACTGACATATACACAACGCGTAGGAAATAATGTCGGCTTGTTCTATCATTGGAAATGCCCCACTTTACTATTTTGTCAAGCTGGTACCCACTTCATTCATATAAACAATGACAGGCTGCTGCTGTTGAGTGGCAGACAGGGGTTGTGGGAAGTAAGAGAGTGTGGAAGGGAGAGAAACCATTTCTACCACCCAGGAGTTTTTCTGGGAGCTCTTCATCCTGGATAACTACAGCATATTCATAGCAGTGGTCTGCACAAATGAAGTAGAGGATAGATCCTGCAGTCTTCCTGGCATCCTTTCCCCAGACTGGCCTGGATCATCCAGGAAGGTGTCCAAGCCCCTCAGCAACTAGGCATCCCCCCAGCTGCCATGATGCCACCAGAATTTCAGACCTCTAATGTGGATCTTGTGTTCCACTCTTAGGGATTCCCCACCACACAGAGATTTAGGGTCTATGAAGAACTGAAAAATGATCAGAAGTGAAAAAGATGTATAAACAGCATCTGGACCGAGAGTGGGGGGACCTGAATGTGGAAAGGGTGGGTGTGGAGCAAGAGCGGCCATAGTGAACACCATAGAGGGTGAGGAGTGTGGCATGAGAACCAACCACCCACCTCCAAATAAGAACAGGCTGAGCACCTCATCGCTTAATTTTCCTTTCCTCAATTGGATAGAATTCTTGATCATAGGAGATCAGGACATTAGGAGGGGACAACTAGCAAGGCTTGAATTTTCCCCACATTGTCAAAGGAAGTCAAAGGGGTAGGATTTTACCTATCCTTGGGCAGGAAAGCAGAAAAGGTTTCAAGCAATCCAGACAGTGTCCGGCAAGGAAGGCCTTGTAACTGGCACAGGGAAAGGCCATCAGTGGACAGGAATTCTCCAGGACGCTGATGTAGAGTTCCACAGCCCTCCTGTGATCACAGACTAGATAGTAATAACCTGAACAGAGAAAAAAACACAACCAAGTTTCCCGTAATAAAGACAAACAGAAACTCCCCCATGCTGCTTACTGAAACTCTTGCCTTTCATATTCCAGCAAGTCATAAACACATGAGTGGGAGTTCCCTCAAATCACTTTTTTAAAATATTAATGTACACGATTACTACATTCTGCTTTTTCACTTTTCCTGAAATACGTAAGCGTAATTCATCAAGAAAACTGCTTGATTTGAGATGCGTTCTTTATTTTTATTATTTTTTTTTTTTGAGATGGACCCTGTCACCCAGGCTGGAGTGCAATGGTGAGATCTCAGCCCACTGCAACCTCTGCCTCCTGGGTTCAAGTGATTTTCCTACCTCAGCCTCCTGAGTAACTGGGATTACAGGTATGCACCACCATACCTGGCTAATTTTTGTATTTTTGGTAGAAACAGGGTTTTGCCATGTTAACCAGGCTGGTCTCAAACTCCTGACCTCAGGTGATCCACCTGCCTCAGTCTCCCAGAGTGCTGTGATTACAGGTGTGAGCCACCATGCCTGGCCTTGAGATGTACTGTTACATGATCATGCAGATTCTCCTTCATAAAATGGGAATATATACAGAGTTGATGATGGATGCTGCCCCACTTCTCAAAATGGATATTTGTGCATATTTTTACCTTCTTCATCACCAGCCATACAACCAATTTTTTACAACCTCATTATACTCAACCCAGCAGTGAGACAGTCAAAGGCATCAGCAGCACTTGATGGTCACTGTCTATAGCCAATGTGCTGAGGCTCACAGGGCCAAATGACTGATATGCAGAATTTGCCAAATATCACAATTTACCAAATCTTGGTTTCATTGTTGTTTGCTATTTAAGTTTGCAGCAACATTGGGTAAATTGCCTGAACCTAAGAAGTATATGGTGAGCTATGACCCCAGGGTCCTAGGGTCTTCAAATTCTCCCTGCACCTTGAGACCCCATTGCTGAGACCTGCAACCAAGGCCGAGATGTATTTTGACTCTCCTCCCCCACCACCACCCGTGATTGGGACACTCTCTGTGGCCAAGCTCCTTCTAGCTGCAACAAGGAGCTGGGGCAGAGACAAACTAAACACTTCTCAAATTGTGATATGAAGAAAAAATGAAAAGTGGTCAACTGAAATGCCACCAAATCTTCAAAAGCCATTGAAACCAAACAATCCTATTTTATATAGAATTGCTAAGAAATTTATAAATTGCAAAAAGAAGCATGTTTTTGGAAACTAGTAAATTTGGTAAAATAGATTAGTAGTTATTTAATAAGATTGTCAAAGGGATCCTTAAAATGTTAGAAATTTGGTAAAGCAGGAAAAGACTAAAAACACAATAAACAGAAATCAGCATTTTAAATTTTTATGTGAAATGCCGATATATTGACTATATTCATAAGTTATAAGAAAATCAAATAATTATTGGTCTTAGCTTTTGACAAATTTAGTATTAAAATAATGCTAAGAACATACCAATAAATATATGAAAAAGAACATTCCAGAAGGCTACATTTAAAGAGAGGAAATGTATAGTCATTGAATGTACAGTCCTTTCCCCTGTGATCGAGGAAAAAAAGATCATCTTGAAAACAATTTTAGAGAACTGGTAGAGTTGGTAAGTGTGGTGAAATGACTGCAGTGAATTGATCCTTCGGCTCACTAGCTTTGGGCACGATGGCTTGCTTCGGCCACAGCAAGGCTCTGTAGAGGATGCAGTTGGTGTGGACTGTGCCTTATGCCACACCCTCCCCTCAAGTGCCTGGGCTCTGAAGATATCCATCCTTGAATACACACTGAGGAAGGCATTATGAGACATAGCAAAGGACACAGTCAAGCAGACCATCTGTGGTCCACTCTGGCTGACTCAGCACAAAGCCTGTTGGTGAATTCCAATTTCTGGGGTTGCCAAATGCCAACTTTCACTGGCTTTCTGACCTGCGTGAATGAAGGTAGGACAGCCAGGTTGGTCTTGGCCTCCATTGACGAAGTAGTCCACGTGTCCGACAGGAATCCGAATACCGAACACTGAAAGGAGGCGGAACTCCATTAACTTCCTTACTTCAGAGCATATTCTCCAGGTCCCACAGCAGAGTCAGCTGGCAGCAGAGCTCAAACTCTGACCTTGGGAGCCCACATCCTCTGCCCACATCACTTCTAAGTGCTGTGAAACTTCACAGAATAAGCCCTCAAACAATTTTCTTTTTTTCTTTTCTTTTTTTTTTTTTTGGAAAGGAGTTTCGCTCTTGTCACCCAGGCTGGAGTGCAGTGGCGGGATCTCGGCTCACTGCAACCTCCATCTCCTGGGTTCAAGTGATTCTCCTGCCTCAGCCTCCTGAGTAGCTGGGATTCCAGATGCATGCCACCATGCCTGGCTAATTTTTGTAATTTTTTTTTGTTTCACCATGTTGACCAAGTTGTCTGGAACTCTTGACCTCAAGTGATCCACTCATCCCAGCTTCCCAAACAGTTTTCCAAAGGGGTTTTTCATGCTAAAAGGAACCAAGGAGATTCAGTTGGTAAGATGCTCATATTTGCCTAAACCAATCAAGAAAAATATCCCAGAAACAAGTTTTTGTAACAGAATAACTGTTATAAAATACCCCAGTAACTGAGTAACTTATAAACTTGGTAAATTTCTTCATTGAGTAGTTTCGGTTTTACTTTGAGTAATAGTTCAAGTAAACTTGTTTGGGATCACATTTCCACAATCTCCCCCAAAACATATCTTTGTGCTCTCCTGACTGAGTAGAAATGGGACGTGGCTCCAGAGCTGAGGTAAGAGAGCATCCTCTGCCCTCATTCTGCCCCTGTGACCAACTCCTGGACCCTCCACTATGGCAGACTTAAGCCCTCAGACTGGCTCAGGCACAGCTACTGAAGACCCCGACTTTCTCCTTCCTAGCATCTGTCACTATTGGAACTATTGGAAGAACTTGATTTATATTATTTACTTACTGCCGTCGACCTGGAGGTTTAGCATTATGATAAAACACCTCACTGTGCAACAGAAGCTCAGAGAGGACCAGGGCATCTCTGCCCAGGGCCATGCAACTAGATGCCAGCCTCCTAGGCCCTGCCTTGAGCTCATTCCCTCGCCCCAGGAAGGTCACCCAGCTCACTGTCAGTGTCTGTGTGGATGGCTTCCACGAAGAGGGCGTCTCCGGCATCCAAGCGCTCCTCCACACTGGCCCTGGTGTACTCAGGTCCAGCGGGGTCCAGACCTATGAGGAGAGACTTATGTGAGGGACTCCTTTCCTCTCAGCTGCAGAAACGCTCATGGACCCACCATACACCCACCCCTTCCAGTGCAGATCGTAAAGCCTCCCTGAAAAGACCCAAGGGTTGGGAGAATTAGCTGAGGACCATCTTCCTCAGGAAACCCCCCTCTCTCTTGTCTCTCTAGGGGGAATCCCTCAATGGCCCAGTTTCTCTGGCTCTAAGATGACCTTGATAACACCAATTGTTTGATAAGAGTTAATGAAAGTAATATTAACCTTTGTGTAATAATAACAACAGCTACAATTTCTTTGAGCAGTTACGACGTACCGGGCCTTCCTTATGCTGTGCAGTTTTACATACTCTAGTCCTCACCACAACACAGTGATTACTGTGAATACTACTATTCCCATGTCTTAGTTTGGATCCCTTCCCTTCCCCCTACAAGAAGACCCTGTCACAGAAGTTCAAGGTAGATTTGGGAGAAAGTCTCAGAAAGCATGGTGAGGGAGTGGGAAAACAAGTCAGGGAATAAAGGAAAATATTCATGAGTATGGGCTACTGACTCCCACCCCACTGGGGCCCCTCTATGATACTGTAAAACAAGACTCAGAATTGTCCTTCCCAAAGGCCAGGAAACGGGGGGTTTTTGCCACACAGCTCTAGTCCCTGATTAACTGAGAGTGGCCCTGGAAGCATAAAGTGTTCCACACTTTTACATGTATATAACAAAAATAACAAAACTGTCTGAAGATGATTCCCACAGGGGGCCAAGGAGACGTCCATTTTACAGATGTAGGAAGTGAGGCGCAGAAAGAAATAAAAGGGGAAGTCCTTGCCAGAGAAATCAGGCAAGAGAAAGAAATAAAAGTCATCTAAATAGGAAAAGAGGAAGACAAGTTGTTTCTCTTCATCAATGATATGACTCTAGAGAAGAACGTTAAAGATTTGACTAAAAGACTCCTCTACCTAATAAACAACTCCAGCAAAGTCTCAGGACACAAAATCAATGTACAAAAGTCAGTTGCATTTCTATGCACCAATAATATTCAAGTTGAGAGTCAAATCAATAATGCAATCTCATTTTCGATAGTCACGCACAAAAATAAAACACTTAGGAACACACCTAACCAAAAAAGTGAAAGATCTGTAAAAGGAAAACTCTAAATCCTGCTAAAAGAAATCATAGGTTACTGGACGCGGTGGCTCACACCTGTAATCCCAGCACTTTAGGAGGCAGAGGCAGGTGGATCACCTGAGGTCAGGAGTTTGAGACCAGCCTGAACAACATGGAGAAACCCTATCTCTACTAAAAATACAAAATTAGCCAGACATGGTGGCACTTGCCTATAATCACAGCTACTCGGGAGGCTGAGGCAGGAGAACCACTTGAACCCAGGAGGCGGAGGTTACCGTGAGCTGAGATTGTGCCATTGCACTCCAGCCTTAGCTCAAAAGTGAGATCTTAGCTCAAAAAAAAAAAAAAAAAAGAAATCATACATGACACAAACAAATGGAAAAGCATTCTATGCTTTTTGCATAGTATTTGCAAAAGAATCCTGTATTCTCTGCAGGGTTGGAAGAATAAATATTATTAAAATGTTCATTTTGCCCAAAGCTATCTACAGATTCAATGCTATCCCTACCAAATTACCAATGTCATTTTTACAGAATTATAAAAATTTATTTTAAAATTCATATGACACAATAACGGGGCTCAAATAGTCAAGGAAATCCTAAGCAAAAAGAACAAAGCTGGAGGTACTACACTACCCAACTTCAAACTATACTATAAGCCTACAGTAATCAAACAGTATGGTACTGCTACAAAAATAGATACATAGGCCAGTGGAACAGCATAGAGACCCCTGAAATAAAGCAGCACACCTACAGCCATCAGACATTTGACAAAGTTGACAAAAATTAACACTGAGGAAAAGGTACCCTATTCAATAAATGGTGCTGGGAAAACTGGCTGATCATATGCTGGAGAATGAAACTGGGCCCCTATATCTCACCATATACACAAATTACTCAAGAAGGATTAAAGACTTTAATGTAAGACCTCAAACTATAAAAAATCCTAGAAGAGGCAGGGCGCGGTGGCTCAAGCCTGTAATCCCAGCACTTTGGGAGGCCGAGGCGGGTGGATCACGAGGTCAAGAGATCGAGACCATCCTGGTCAACATGGTGAAACCCCGTCTC